TTCTGGGTCTGGCCTATTTCATTTAGCATAATGTCCTTTAGGTTCATCCACGTGATCACAAGTGGTCAGATTTCCTTCTTTTTTAAGGCTGAGTAATGTTTTATTGTAATTTTCTTTACCCGGTCGCCCTCCCAGGGCCACTTAGGCTGTTTTCCTCTCTCGGACGCTGTGAGTGGTGCTGCAGTGAGCATAGGGGCACAGCTGTCTCTTCCAGATGCTCATTTCGTTTCCTTTGGATAAATACCCAGAAGTGGGCCTGCTGGATGGGGTGACAGGCTACCTCTGAGTTTGAGGAGCCTCCATGCTGCGCTCCCCAGTGGCTGCACCAGGTTACAGTCCCACCAACCGCCACGAGGGTTTCCTCTTCTCCAACCGACTTTTTTCTAACTTAGCCTCATCCTAAACAATAGTAGCTATAAAATCACAAATGTGATATGCTAGTTCTATAACTTTTTAATACGTATTTAAAATTCTTTCTAAAAATGTGTAACTGCCAGAATTAAAAGTGTTCCACCACATACCAGCTAAAAGTGCCCGCCACCCCGATGTGCTCCCTGCGCGTTGGCACCGGGCCTGTCCCACGCCTTCCATGACCAGACGGTGAACCAAGGCTGGAGAGAGTGTGGTCACGTCACGGTGCTTGGGACACGAACAATGCGTGTGGCGTTAGTACCCAGGTCTGCTGCCACCACGGGTCAGCCCAGCAGGTGGGGTCCCAGCTGCAGCATTATACACTCTGTCACCTGCACATGTCACTTTACCCCTTGGAGCCTGGGTTTCGTCATCTCTGCTGTGGGGCAGTGACCCTGCCTGACCCCTACAGGCTCCACAGTGTCTGGTGCGTGTCCAGACCAGGCCTGGATAGCCCCTTGCCCACATTTTTCTCTCTATGTGGCTGATATGACGGGTGTGACAGTGAACCAGCTGCCCAGGGACCCCACAGGGGAGTCTGCTCCCCTTTCTTCCTCACCTCTCACCACCAGCCATTGCTGCCCTGCCTTTAGGCCAGCACCAGGCCAACGTCCCTGCTTGATGTGGCCGGGGTTGGGAAGGCTGCCAGATGCCCTGGCACTCTCCCCNATGTCCAGAACAGGCCTGGATAGCCCCTTGCCCACATTTTTCTCTCTACGTGGCTGATATGACAGGTGTGACAGTGAACCAGCTGCCCAGGGACCCCACAGGGGAGTCTGCTCCCCTTTCTTCCTCACCTCTCACCACCAGCCATTGCTGCCCTGCCTTTAGGCCAGCACCAGGCCAACGTCCCTGCTTGATGTGGCCGGGGTTGGGAAGGCTGCCAGATGCCCTGGCACTCTCCCCATCTGTCTGGCCAGCTGGCCATGGGTTGTCCAGCCTCATGGACTGGAGCTGTGGGCCAGCATCACCTGGCCAGCCCAGCCCTGGGTCCATTTCTCCCGAAGTGAGGAAAGGGGCTCCTGCATTTTCTACAGTCGGGAAGGGCCCCCAGGACTTCATACAGGAGATGCTGCTGAGCTCGCAGGAGGCTGTGCTCTGGCCGAGGCGCCTGCCACCACACGAGGTCCCAGCTGAAGGAGCCAGGGTGAGGGACTCCCCTCACCCTCCAGGCTTCAGGAGCCAGANGCGCCTGCCACCACACGAGGTCCCAGCTGAAGGAGCCAGGGCGAGGGACCCCCCTCACCCTCCAGGCTTCAGGAGCCAGAGAGCTCTGAGCAGACAGACACAGCGGGTCATCTGTGCAGGGCCCTCCTAGGACCATGTCACTGTTCTAAGGGCATCTGGGGAGGCCAGAGTCACCCAGGGGCTTGTGAGCTCCAGGACCCCCCACCCAGGCCTGGCGAGCAGTGTCTCCTGCTGGAGTCTGACAGCCAGTGTCCGGACAGTTTGGGGGGAGCTCAGCACCTCCTGTCCCAGGGCTCACTGTGAGTGTGGGTGAAGGTTTAGGAATATCCAAGGGGCTTCTCATCCCCCACATTCCTCAAAGGACACAGACACATGGTCCTTTTGTCCCATGGATGCTTTGAAGTCCTTGTGGGAGCCACATCCAAACCCTGTTTCTGTGTCCATGGTCTCTCCCCTCCATTCACCACCTCCCTTGCCAGGGCCGCAACGTGTCCTGTCATCCTCGGGGCTGTTTTACCTCCAGAGCCCCCCACCCCACATCCTGATCTAGGTCTGGCCTCCTCCGTCCCCTTGTCCCCCTTCTCCCTCTGGGGGCTCGTCTTGCTGCCAGGGGAGAGCTGGTCACGCCTGCCTCCACCTGCCCCTCTCTGGTCTCCTCCCTGCATCCTCTGCAGCCCCATGCCCTGTTTCCCCTCCACCCCCTGGCCTCTCTCCAACATTCTTAGCTTGGCTCCAGCTGGGAGGGCTCTAGGAAGCTGGCATTGGTGCCACCCGAGGGCAGGGCAAGTGGGCAAAGCCTGTGAGGTGGCACCAAGCAATGTGGCGAGACAGTCCTGGCCTCCATGTCCTGGCTCAGGAAGCCTCTGGCTGCACTGCTGTGGATTAAATGAGCTCCTTGTGTAAAGCGCAGGGTGACCCCCGCTAGCACCAGGCAGAGCTGGCAGGCAGAGGACCGGAAGGCCCCGACCTTAACATGCAGTTTAGAAGTCAAATGTGGCTCCCATGTCTGTTCAGTGCCTGTGCTATGCCCGACCCACTGCAGGTGCAGGCCTGCGACAGTGGGGATCACACAGGTTCCCGCTCTCATGGGCTGTCCCGTGGAGGGAGCCACCTGCACCCAGGCACCGGGAGAGCTGCCCTTGGACAGTGAGCTCCCCGGCCCTAGGGAGGCTGCCTGTCTCACTCTCAGATTTGTTCCTGGGAGCCAAGAGTGTATCTGAGCCCAGAACAGGGCCTTCACCGTGGGGAGGAGAGGCTCTCAAAGCAAGGCCCGTGAGCACAGGCGGCAAGGTCTCCAGGGAGTCGCTACAGTACACGCTCCGGGCCTGGGGACGACTGAATGGGAATCTCGGGGTGCGTCCTAAAGATCTGCGTGGCCGGTGTGTTCTCAGGCCATTCTGCAGCGGGACAGGTCTCCGGGGAGTTCGCTTAGAGGGGGCCCAGGCATTAGAAGGATATTGATGCTTTGAGCTTGGAGGTAGTCACTCCTGAAGAGACCTTTTACCGAAGCTGGGCTTTGCCCTCTGCTTACAGACCACACCCGTCTCCCAGCCCCGGAGCAGAAACTCGCCCTGCGGCCAGAGCCCCAGCCTGGCCCGCCTCGGCCCGAGGAGATAGGAAGGAGCCCGGGGAGGACAGGGTGGGCTGGTGGGCGCTGCGCTCATCTGCACCCAAGGAGTGGGCTTGGTCTCTTCCCCTTGACAGCCTCAGGAGGAGGCATTTGTTCCCCGAAGAGAAGAGAAATGGGCCAGGGAAGCTACTGGGTGCTGAGGCAGGACTGGAACCCAGGTCTGTGGGACTCCAGAAACCGGGCTCTTCCTGTGAGTCCTGGGCTGTGGCGTGGGGAAGTCTGTGCTCTGTCCCCCAACCTGGATGAGGGCTGACTCTTCTCGCCCCATGATGTCACCTCAGCTCTTTCCGGCCCCTCCAAACCTGCCCGCAGTGCTGTTCTCTCAGGGGCCGTGGGCCCCTGAAGCCTGTCACAGGGAGCAGTTTCCCTGGGTTTCTACCCCCAAGGTCAATTCTAGGAGAATTAGAGGCTGGTTATGATAAATGATAATTTGTAAAAGAGAGTATAATTATAAAACTCGCATACAAATATAAACTGAATACCTGCCAAACATTGTACTGAGTAAATGAGAGAACCAGTAAAATGTTACCGCTGGCTCATAGAACTCAAAGTACCCAACATATAAGGCTGAAGGGTGAAATGAATTTGCACATAGATGCAAAAGTGAGTACAGTTTTGTCCAGTTGAAATATGACTGGACAAAGTTCGTTTGCATGCCTGTGGACAAGCATCATTTGCATTGCTATCAGTTATCTACAACTTACACTTGCATAGTAGCTTAAGGACAACGAACGCCCCCAAGACAGTAAAAGTCGAGACCCTGAGCGTCAGAAAGCCCGGAAGGCTGACTCAGACAGTGCCTTGCTCTGCCGTGAAGACACAGTAGCCTTTCTGACTCATTTCAAAGCCTATCATTTGCCAGAAGTGGGCCATGAATGTGGCTCTGAGCTTCCTGGCAGCCAAGTCAAAGAGGAAACAGCCTCAAGATTCAGTGTTTATAGGACAGATGGGTTCACCATACATTCAGCTTCTCATTGCATTGAGACCAAGTTCATCTTCCAGGAGGGGCCTCGTAAAGGGAACCCAGTGAGCTGGAAAGCAATGTCCTTAACAAATATTTCTACTGCAAAAGCGGTGGCCACGCTTGTGTAGTTGCTTTCAAAAGCCAGGACAGTGGCTCTCCAAGTGTGATTCCAGGTCAGCAGCAGCAGCCTCACCTGGGAACTTGTTAGAAAGGCAAATTCCCAGGTTCCACAGAGACCCTGGGAGTGGGCCTCAGCTGTCTGTGTTTCAGCAAGCCTTCTGGATGAGTCTGTTGCAGACTGAAGTTTGAGAATCATGGCCAAGGATTCTCACCCTCGCCATCACTGTAGAGTTCCCTGGAAAGCTTACACACAGGACCCACCCAAGGCCAATTAAATCAGGATCGCTGGGTGTAGGGCCCAGTTAGATACATTTTTTAAAGCTCCCCATATGGTTATACTGTGTAGCCAGGAGGCCCACTGCCGGTGAGTCATTTAATGCAAGCCGAGGCCAGGCATATCTCTGCTCTAGAGAAATCCAGACCTGCGCTGCGTGGCTTGTATGAGATTACGTTTCCCTCCCTCGGCTTGTATGAGATCATGTCTCCCTCCCGCTCTCCCACCCTGTCTTCCACACTGGGCACTCACTATTTAGATGGCAGAATCCAAGGCCCCAAGAAGGAAAGGCACTGAGAAGGGCAGTGCCTAATGGGAGATCCCGCAGGGAGGGTGCTGGCGATGATGACAGGGCAGGGGTGGCCCTCGGTCCACGCTCCATCCCTGCCTGATGCCACTGCTCTTCTTGGCAGGCTGCGCGGGGCTGTGGGACAACATGAGCTGCTGGCCCTCCTCCGAGCCTGGACAGACGGTGGAAGTGGAGTGTCCGCGATTCCTCTGGATGCTCTCGGGCAGGAACGGTAACCACTCGGCCCAAGGGGTGGCCTCTGCGTGGGGCCTCATCCTGAACCCAGGAGGCCAAGGAAACTTCTCTGGGGACAAGTAATGAGTGAAGTGATGGGGTGGGGCCCCTGGTAGGGACTGAAAACCTTGCTTGGGGGGGGTGGGGTGGGCTTAATCCTTAGGCTCCCAGCAAGGGGGCAGCAGGCACCGTATTAGGGACATGATAGAGGAGGCCAGGCTTGCTTCTCCCTTGCTCCAGCCACCATGTCTGGGTCCCGCCCTGGCACAGCCTGGCCTTCCAGAACCTACTTCCGGCGCTCATTCTGCCAGGCCCTGCTGATAAACTGTGCCCTCCCTGGGTGCCCCTGGCCTCCGGGGGGATCTCTTGCCTGAGGGAAGCTACAGTTTACAGGACTTTCTTAATTTCAGGCAGGGAAGTGAGGAGGCTCTCAGAGGAATGCTCAGGGACTAATGCCAGCTACAGTTGCGTATGTGCCAGGCATTAGTCTTCACAACCCCCTGCAAATCACAGACCATCCCTCCCCGCGCTCCACCCAGTCAAGAGGAATAGTAACAGCGACTGAGAGGGGTCTAGTCTTGCCTAAGGTTCACAGCTGGGAGATGGAGAAACCAGGACTCAAAGCCAGATTCCTCTGACTTCAAAACTGGGGCTCTGTTCGAGGCCATGGTCATGGTGGGCCTGGGCCCCCCGGGGGGGGAGGGTGGTTTCATGGCCCATTGGCCCCTTCGCTTAGTGGGCTCACTGAACATCTAAAGCCTGGCCTGCCCCTGCCGCCCTCTCCCCTCATCCACGTAGGGTAGGAAAAGCTGCCCGATGTGGCCCTTAACAAGAATGAACCAAAAACGAAGATTTAACACTAAAACCCATCAGCCTTCCAAAGTCAGGAAACTATGACCAGCCAGACCAAGGCTGTGCAGCGTGAGAGAGGAGTATAAATTCTTTGCAATATGATTCTTAGTGCACATGCACTTGTGCACACATGCAGATTTGGGGACCACGCTGCTGGCTCACTGCTCCCCTCAGCCTCATTTGACTCCCCATGATACAGAAATTGGAGGGGGCCAGGGAGTCTGGTTTGAACCCCACCCCTCCATTTGCTGCTTGGGGAATGCTAGCTGCTGAAACAGACAAATCCCCAAATCTCCAAGCTTTCATCCAGTGCCTGGCACCCGAGGCCAGAGCAGGTGCCTCTGCTGAGCAGGAGGCTCTTTCTTCCGTGGTGGGTCTGGCTTCCAGACTCCTTCCTTTGTCAGCACAAAGCTCTCAGGCCAATTGGTGAAGGGGAAGGACTGGGATCAGCCAAGGGAGATGTTGAAGGACCAGGCCTGAAAGTGATACCACTTCTCCCCATGTTGCTTCTGCCAGAACTCAGTCCCATGGCAACTCCCAGCTGCAAGGGATGTGGGGAAATGGGGTCCCACTGGGTGCCAGTCTCTACCTCTGGGCCCAAGTTCCTCAAATAGTCTCTAAGCTTCAGTTTTCTCACCTGTAAAAGGGGGAGAATAAATAACACCAGCCCTATAAGGCTGTGCTTGGAAATAAATTTTAAATATTTTCCTTTGTCTCTTCTCTCCCCTTTGTTTTCCTTCTTGTCCTTCCTTTCTACCCCAAAGTGCCCCCCCCACCAGGCACACACACAGCAGCAAACTATCTACAGTCTCTATCTCCTGGCATGACCCCTCCATGCCTGTCTCTGGGGCAAGTGGAGCTCAGGACACAAGAGATTAATCCACATACGGTTGACCTTGAGTAACTTGCTGGTCAGGTGAAAGGCCAGGATCAGACCCTGGTCTCCGACTCCCCATCCAGTGCTCCTCTCTGGTTGGCCAAGTTCTCCTGTTGGAGGACCTGGGAGCTCTCCTCTTTTCCAAGCCCTCCTTTCAAAGCCTTCTCAGAGCCACTGTGCCTCTGCCTCCCTGCCACCATCCCACCTGCCTTTGTGCAGGGCAGCCACGCAGAGCCGTGCTCATGGCCACATCCCACCCCAAACAATTGCTTGAACCCCTGCCTACCTCGTTAACTAGAATCCAACTGTCTCCTTCTTGAGGCTCCTCAATGCTTTAATTGCTCAAAACCCACCGGGGGTCACCCAGGGGTGCAGTTCCAGGTCTGCGTGCTGTGGGGAAGGAAGCGGAGCTCCTCTGCCAACCTCTGCTGCAGTTTCTTCTCGTTACCACGTGGTGTCGCTGTAGGGCTACAGGACCTGCCTGCTGGCCACACTGAGGCTCCGCCTGCTCAGTGCTATGCAAAGGCCCCCAGGGGGTGGGGATCATCTCAACCTGGGGGGGACTACTCTGCTCATACCCAGCCCCAGGCCCAAGGCCTGTTAGGAGAACATAGGTCAGAACCAGTCCAGCCTCCCACCAAGAGCCATCCTCCCATCATTACCTTCCTTCCCCATAGACCCACCTGGGGTTAGATCCCAGCCCCTTTGTTTCCTCTCAGGAGAGAAGGCCTCCCTCAGTGGGGTCCCCACCCCAACCTAGGGAGGAGCGCCTAGTGAGGACAAGCTGGTGTTCTGGAGCCTTCCTTTAGTAAGAAAAACTAATAATAACTTAATTCTACCTCAGAGCAGCCACTGCATGGGCCCAGACAGGATGGTGTCCGTTTTACTGGAAAAACTGCAGGCTGGATTCTGCCCAGATATTTCCCTGTGTGTGCCAGGGCCTAAAATGTTCCCTTTGATTCTTAAAAGGGCACTGGTCTTCCAGAGTTCCTTACTGAAAACACACTTCCCAGGCAGGCCAGGCCTTGGCCCTTTCCCTTCTGCCTTAGTGGGGAGACTTAAAGCAGCGGATGTTTAACCAGGTTAGGGTCCCGGGGCCTCTGTAGAATCAGGTGAGAGCTCTGGACTGCACATACGTATGCGCACAAAAAAACTGACTGTGCTTTCAGGAGTCCTGGGTGAACCTGGGTAAGGACCCTTACTTATTAGGCATTAAATCCAGGGGAAGTGGGTGACTTGAGGGGATCGGGAGAGAGCCCCACCCTCGTCTCCCTGCAGTTCTGCTGCTCTGGGCCACTGGCCTGGATCACATGCAGCACTTGCCTTGGGAATCCTGCTGGGTCAGTGAGGAGAGGGCTCCAAACAGGCAGCCCACCCTGATGAGGGCCTGCACTGCCTGACAGCCGGCTCTGGGCTTCGCAGAGTTTGTGTTCTCTTACCTCGTCCTCCCATCCAACTGGCCTAAATTTGACCACCATTCTTTCCTGTCTGACAACCTAAGTCCCTTGACCCAACTTCTGCCCCTCTCCTAAATTCCAAGACTCCAAACCCCAGCACTCTTGGTCTATTTCAGAAAGACCCAGAGCAGCGAGGAGTAACGCTGGTGCCATCTTGTGCTTGGCACCAGCCTGGGTGATTTCTGTGGGCCACCATGCTTTTCTCTCAGCTCTGCAATGGGAGTGATTGTTCCCATTTGGCACAGAAAGTGATGCACCTAAGGTCACACGGCGGCCAAGAGGCAATGCTGGGTTTCAAACTCGGATCTGGCTGGTTCTAACTCTGTGCTCCAGGCCTCATGAGCCTTCATAGGCTGAGTATGCCTAGAGCCCAAAAGCCATGATCTCTAGTTGTTCCAGGCTGCCCCTGGGTCTGTAGGGAGGGGGCCAGGCAGGAAGGAGGTACTGTGATGGGACATGTCCTACCTGGGTCCCGTTGCTCAAATCTGAGCCTTGGTTTTCCCATCTGTAAAATGGGCCAGCAGCACCTCCCTCACTGGGGCCCTATGAAGATTAGATCAGAATCCATACATTAGCATAGTGCCTGATTCTGGAAATACCAGCCCCATTGCTCCAGCTCAGTGGAATCTGCTTGACCTTAAACCCAGACCCCGAGGCTTGTCAAGAGGTGCATGCCAACCCAGGTGGGGTGTTCAAGGGGCCCCTGACAGGGTACAGATTAGAGCAAAGCAGTGACAGGGGTGTGATCAACTCCCTGTACCCCTGCAATGCCCACAGCAGCCAGGCCTGACACTGGAACTCAGCCCTCCTTGGCAGCCCAGAGTGGCGGATGCAGCTGAGCCAGTCGTTCCCAGGAGGGAGACTCTTGGTTCTCCAAAACTTTCTCCTTGGTTGGCAGCTCCCCTTCCCCAGTGTTCGGGCTCCTGCTCTGCAAGCTTGTGGGCAAGCTCTCCCCTCTTCTCCAAGAGAGCTCAGAGCAGGCTCTTCACCCCCACTCATCTGCTTCTCTAGCCAGCCAGCCACTGTTTGGTTAGCAAGGACTCTGCGCAGGCCCTGGGAGCCCTTAGAAAGCATCTGCTGGGGGGGCAGGGAAGCCACTGCCACCCCCTGTGAGGACATGGGATGCAGCCTGTGCTGGAGATGGGCAGCGAGCTCAACATGCCAGCAGGGCACCCTGCCAGCAGGGGCGGAGAGTGGGGAGGGGAAGGCCCTCCTAGAGCATGGAGGGACCTTGGAGCTGAGTCTGGAGCCTGCAGAGAGAAGGGCGAGGGGCGGGGTGGGAGTGAACAGGGGCCTAAGAGAGCCCTGGAGTAGGGCTGGGCCCCAGAGCAGCGAGCTGGGCCGGGAGCAGGACACTGAAGTTCTGCTGGGGCCTGGCCATCTGGGGGCTGGGCCCTGGTTGGGGAGTTGTTGGGACTGTTGAGCACTGTGCCACCAGTCAGCCTTCCTTGCCATGGAGCCCTGGTGCCTGGCATGGTGGGAGGGGGTGTGATGAGGTGGTGGGAGGAAGGTAAGCTGTGGCTGGAGGCCATGAGGGGTGTTTGCTCAGGGGCGACCTAGTTTGTAGATGGATGTGTCAGGGATCAGCAGGTCTCTCTCTCTCTCTCTCTCTCTCTCTCACACACACACACACACACACACACACACACATCCAGGTCTTTGCCCCTTCTAGACCCATTTGCCCCCCCACCTTTCCCTCCACTTTGCCTGCCTGGCAGACTTACGTATCTTAAGGATAGTTGGGCCAACTGGGAGCTGACTGTGGTTCAGAGAAAGGCAGCTGGGGACAAAATGACAGAAGGAAGCTCCAGGCTGCGCCTGTGGCATTGCTGAGGGCACCCAGGAGACCCAGCTGTCCGTCCCCGGTCCCCACTGCTCACACATAACGTGCTTGGCACCCACAGGTTCCATATTTCGAAACTGCACCCAGGGCGGCTGGTCAGAAGCCTTCCCCAGGCCTGACCTGGCCTGTGGGGTTAACGTGAATGACTCGTCCAACGAAACCAACAAGAAGCGGGTAAGCCTGTCAACCTCCCTTCCTCCCCAGGTGGGGCTTGCAGGGGAGGGGACAGAGTAGAGCCAGCCTAGGGCCAGGGACAGGCGACCTGGGGGCTGCCCCTCCTACCACTTGTCTCCTGCGCATCACCTGGGGGCCGGTGGGCCTGCTTCACTGCCCTGGTCCAACCCCGAGACGCTGGTCATGAAGACCATGGTGCAGGGGACTGCCATATGCCACCATGAGACGGGATGATTTAGTCATGAAACCGAAAGAGAAGTGACGTGGTGGCTCCATGCTCAGAGCCAGGCTGGTGAGTCTCAACCCTGACCTGTGATCTTGGTGGGCGTGGGGAGGACTTCACTTCTCTGTGCCTCAGTTTCTTCATGGGGAAAAGGGGTTATTTATAGTTCTGACCTCACAGGCTTGTCAAGACAACTAAATAAGTTAATCCATGGAAGTGCTGAGAAGGTGCCTAGCCATAGTAAGTGCTCAATCAATGTTTGTTCTCAAAGGAGAGAGCCCAGCCTGGCCAGTGTGGCTCAGAGGTTGAACGTTGACCCGTGAACCTGGTGGTCATGGTTTGATTCCCGGTCAGGGCACATGCCTGGGTTGTGGGCTCAATCCCCAGTAGGGGGCGTGCAGGAGGCAGCCGATCAATGACTCTCTCATCATTGATGTTTCTCTCTCTCCCTCTCCCCTTCCTCTCTCTGTAGTCAATAAAAACATATATATACATATAAAAAGAGAGCCTAGCACCAGGCAATCCTGGTTTGAGAAGACACTGTGAGCTGTGGCTACACTTCTCCAGGTGCCTCCTGAAGTGGCTGTTAGTTCCACAGACCCTTCCCTCCCTGCCTTTCCTGACTGACTCGTACACATCCTTCAAAACCCCACTCCAGCCCATCAACTCCAGAAAGCTCTTCCTTCTTGTCCCGCCAGGAAGGGCTCCCTTAGTACTATATTAGCCTCCAGCTGTTACCTACCGTATTATATGAAATCATCAGTATGTGCCATGTGCATCCGTCTCTCTCGCTAAAATATGAGCTCCTCAAAGGCATCCATTCACTTGACAAACATTTGTTGAGCATCTACTATAGGCAAGGCATGGGTCTAAGTATGGAGATACAGCAGTGACAAATCCAAGAGTCATTTCCAGGCCCCATTGCAGCGCATGATGCCTGGCACCTATAAGGTGCCCAATAACTGTTCATTTTTGGACTGAACACCTACCCTGTGCCAGCTGCTTAGTGCACAATTACATTCAATCTTCAAAAGCATTCAGTGTAAGTTCATTATTTTCTCCATTTTGCAGATGAGGAAACTGAGGCTCAAAGGGATTAAGGAAAATGCCTAGAAAGTAATGGAGGCAGATGTTGAAGGGGTATCTGCACCCCCATGTCTATTGCAGCATTACTAGTTATACCCGAGGCATGGGAACAACCTAAGTATCCATCCATAGATGAATGGAGAAGGAAATGGTGGCACACGCACACAAAGGAATACTACTCAGCAACCAAAACGAAGGAAGTCCTGCATTTGCAACAACATGGACGGACCTTGGGGGCATTATGCTCAGTGAAATGAGTCAGGCAGAGAAAGAAAAATAATGTATGCTCTCACCTATATGTGGAATCTTAAAAAAGAAAAACACAACCCAAAGCTAAACTCATGGCAAAAGTGATCAGATTCCTGCTTACCAGAGGAGAGGATGGGGGAGGGAGAATTGGATGGCGGTGGTCAAAAGGTACAAAATTTCAGTTATAAGATAAATAAGTACTAGGGATATAATGTACAGCGTGATGGCAACAGTTAACACTGCTCCATGGTCTATATGAAAGCTGCTAAGAGAGTAAATCCTAAGAGTTCTCATCACAAGGAAAAATACCAATTTTTTCTCTCTTTTTTTTCTGTATCTGTGTGAAATGATGGATGTTAACTAAACTTATTGCGATGATCATTTCACAATATATGCAAGTCAAGTCATTGTGCTTACACCTTAAACTTATACAGTGATGTGTCTCAATTATATCTCAATAAAACTGAGAAAGAAAGTCAAGGGGGAAAAAAAGTCATGGAGGCAGAATTCAAACCAAGCGTAGCTCCGCAAAGAGCCAGTGTGCCTGCCGCTGCCCCCTGAGGGTGCGCCCCTGGGAGGTGCGCTTTCAGCAGTCGCATCAGCTAAACTCCCCAGCGGGAGTGTGACGGGCAAGCTTGCAACTTCCTTGGAGATGGGATGGGTCATGTTAGAAGAGCCGTGAAAGGGGGAGCAACAGAATTAAGGAGAAAAGATGTAGCTGGGAGGCAGACCAGGCCTCCTTCTGAGTTTTTTCTAAGAACCCCCTATAGCCAGTCGGCCTTGCTCTATGTGAAGGAGTTTGATTGATGGAGTAACATGGACGGTGGAGTTTCTTTCCTTCCAGGGCTTGCCATCCAGGTGGAGAAAATGCATGAATAAGGCAGGGCCTCAGATCTGGCCACAGTGGGTCAATTTAATCACCAGTGGGTCAATTTAATCATGGGACTCAACAAAACTTGACCCGTGGGTATATGCAGTCTTGGGGTGTGGTGGGTAGGCTCTGGCCCCTGAAGACCATCGCTATCATTGTCTCAGATAGACAGGGGATTATGAATGTCATATTTGTAAAATTAAGAGGAAACATTCTTATGATGAGTGGCAGGATAGGGGTTCAAAAGGATGCTCTGGGCTGCAAATAACAGAAATTTCCAACTGGTTTAATAAGCAAAGTTGGCTCCTGGACCTGAGGGTGCAGGGAAGTGTCAGGACTCTTTATGAAGCTGCGCTGCCAGCCACCACGACCAGGCCCGTCCCGTCTCTCCTGCTACCTGGTGCTTCCTCCCAAGGCCGGCGCCGCTCCCATTGGAAGGTGACAGCCATTGCCAACTGCGGCTACAGGCTTCCCCGCGCCTGCTTGTCCCGCAGGAGGACGGCCTGACTTCCTACAGCTCCTTCCTAAGAGCAAGAAAGCTGTACCCCAACCCCCGCAAGCCTGTCCAAACACCGCACTGGCTCAAAGAGGCTTGATCCTGCCAGCCACTGGACCGCCTCTGGCAGAGGGCTGGGTACATGATTGGCCTGTGCCAGTGGCTCTCAGCTTTTTAGCTTTGGGACCCTTTTACACTTTTAAGGATTATTGAGTCCCCAAAGAGCTTCTGCTTGTGAGAGTTATATCTATTGAAACCTCACATGAGAACTTCTGGCTTCGAGTAGTCAGCTGGGAAAGAATGAGTCCAGGGCCTGACCTTGATATCCATGGCAAGGTCGAAACTGTGATATCCCCAGACAAGGAGCTGAAACTTAACTAAGGTAATTGCAAAATTTGGACTTACTTCAGAAAATTATTGTCCAAAAATAGTGGAGACTTACCTTGACTTCAGCTCACATAAAAAAATTAAGAAGTCCCTAAATTGGAAGGGTTTCAGACCATATGATTCACCTTGGTCCCTAAATGCTGGTCCACAAATTGGCACAAGCTTTGTCTTTTATTTTGAGATTTGAATCATCCTATTTATTACTGTTGATTTTTTTTCTTTCAGTCAAATGATGGTGAAAATCTGAATTTGTTTGTTTTCTTTCAACTTCCTTACTTGGCATACACCTCTCTGTTATTATTATTTTTAAAATATGTCTTTATTGATTTCAGAGAGAGGAAGGGAGAGGGAGAGAGAGAGAAACATCAATGATGAGAAAGTCATTGATTGGCTGCCTCCTGCATGCCCCCTACTGGGAATCGAGCCCGAAACCTGGGCATGTGCCCTGACCAGGAATTGAACTTCGATCTCCTGGATCATAGGTCAGTGCTCAAGCACTGAGCCATGCTGGCCGGGCCACCTCTTTATTATTGACAAATATTATTGACAGACTGGACTCAGATTGGCAGAAAGACCAGGCAAAGATGCCACTTGGGTAAATAAAATGGGGTTTGCTTACCTATAGCAGAGGTTGGCAAACTATAGCCCTTGGGCCAATTCTGGCCCTCTACCTGCTTGTGCAAATAAAGTTTTATTGAAAAAAGGCCACTCCCATTTGCACTACAAGGGCAAAATTAAGTAGTTGTGAAAGAGATTTCACGGCACCCAAAGCCTAAAATATTTACTGTCTGCACTTTATGGAAATAAGTCTGGTGACCCCAATCTAGAGGATGCAGAAGGAAGGTGGCCCAGTCAGGATGCAAAGCAGAGAGAGAGGAAACCTGGGCCAGGACGACAGCAGTGAGGCTCCTGGAACCCAGCTCCTCTGGCAGGTAGTGCACAGGTGCCATTGTCGAGGGCAGGGGCTCTGGGGTTGCATCAGGACTCATGGGAATAGCGCTCTTTCTGGGTCAGACCTTAAAGACACAGGGCAGGACCAGGTCTGTATGGGAGCTGGCCCATGTGTCCTGAGGGTTCGATGGTGCACAAGACCACGGTCACAGGACAGGACAGAATGTTCAGCCTGAACACTCTATACTGCTCCTGAACGGAGGGCTGCAAAAGCAGGTGTCCCCGGGAGCGAGGCCAACACCCTCAGCCATAGGGCTCGTGTTGGTCCTCCAATATTTTGACATTTCGCTGCTCTTTGATGTGCCAAAGTCTGGGAACCATTAATCTGATGCAACCTACTGGCCTTTTGGCTCTCTGCCTTGTGCCTTTAAGGTGGCTCCTGGAACTGCAGTGACATCAGTGGGGAAGCTCAATATCACAAGGCAGTCATCCTGTCAAAGGTCACCTCTTGCTACCAGAAAAATTTTGGTGACTCTAAGTCAAATCTACCTTCTGGTAACGTCCTCCCACCAGAGCTCACACATTAGGTCTTACTCTGCTTCTACGTGTCAATGGCCTAAGACTTTCCTTCCCTCGGTTTGTTTGTTTTCCCCTCTTGGAGTCATGTACCCCGTTTATTACGCACTCGTAAGATGACATGATCAGCCTTCTCTGGAAATGCTCCAGCTTATTAATGTGCCTCTTTAAGTAAAGTGCCCAAAACTAGACCAAGATACTGCAAACATCCCCATGTGGCCGGCTGCCCCACAGCACTCCATTCTGCCACTGAGAGCAGGCGCAGTTCCCCAGCCGCCGCCTCGAACCTCATGGGCCATGCCATAACCTCGCACAGCGATTCCAACTGCTTGCTGCCTCACGTCAAGGGTGGACGATGGGGGTGGAGGTGGGAAAGTTAACATGCACTGCGTGTCTTCTAGCTGCCAGCCATTATTTAGACACTCTGATACCTTATTTGTTCTTCCAACAAGCCTGAAAGGTAGATATTATCCCCATTTTGCAGATGAGGAATCTGAGGCTCAGAGAAGTTAAGTAATTTGCCCAAGGTCACACAGCTGGTGAGTAACAGTCCTGGGTTTGAAACTGTTGTCTCCTGGATCCGAAGCCTGTTTTTCTGTCCTACACTTCCCTAACACCGTGAAGCTTTGGCCATTCTGACCTCAAGGTCATTCTCATATGTACAGCCGTCAGGCAGCCCAGTTTCCCCCATACTATTGCTGTGTCTGTTCTCTTTTTAAATTAGCTACCCTTATCTTCTGGGTATAAAGTAGTATTTACCCACTGTAGACAAATACAACTGAAAATAACAATGCTATCCACAAACATCATCCAAAGTTAACCGGTATTAACATGTAACACATTTCCTTACAATCTTGTTTCTATGCATGTATGAGATTGGGCTACATGAAATGGCCCATATTTGATCATTTTGGGTCTACAAAAAGGGGCAGTTTCATACGATTCAACCTAACACTTTTTTACATAGAGTGGGAATCATACTGTCCTGTGAATTGAATTCTGCCTTTCACTCACATTACGTTCTCAGCATGTCCTGACATCTTTTCAAATTCTTGGTAAGCAGCATTTAATAGTGGTCTAACATTAAAACAATTTGGTTAACTATTCTTCTAATGTTGGATATCTGAATGTTTTTCATCACAAATAGCTTTGTGATAAAGATCTTTTTTAAAAAAATATATCTTTATTGATTTCAGAGCGAGGAAGGGAGAGGGAGAGAGAGAGAAACATCAATGATGAGAGAGTCATTGATTGGCTGCCTCCTGTGCCCCCGACTGGGGATCGAGCCCGTACCCCAGGCATGTGTCCTGACCGGGAATCGAACCTTGATTTCCTGGGTCCTAAGTCTAAGCTCAACTGCTGAGCCACACCTGGCCAGGCTGTGATAAACATCTTTACATATAAATATATTTTTATATTTCTGATTATTTCTTAGAATTAATTCCTAGAGGTAGAAGGAGGGGTCAAAAGAAATGCCTGCTTCAAAGATTCTTAATCCCTGTTACCTTCCAGAGAGATTGAACCAATTTTCACTCCCACTATACCCTCACCTGCATAGCATATGATTAGTTCCAAATAGTTGTTAATTTGGTTGGTTAAAAAATGGTCTGGCATTATTGTCTTAATTTTCATTTCCTTGATTCTTTTTAAGACTGTTGTACAATTTATATTTTGAACCTAAATACTGGTCTTTACATTTATCTCTGTATATCAAATTATTCCATCCCACTGAGATCTTTTTGAATCAAAGGTGAACCAAGAGTGTGAAGTGGCTGCTGAACAAGTAAGTGCCTGCTTGGCCACATTAATAGGAGTACAGTGTGGAGTTCAGGGGAGGCGATACCCACTCTACTTCTTCCTGGTTAGAAGATGCATCTGGAGTTTTCAGCTATCCAGTTCTGGATATTTTATTTAAGAAGGACATTGACAAATCAGAGTATATTAATTGAGCAAAATGGTGAAGGATGTGGAAAGAGATTAAAGACACAGGGAACATTTAATGCTGAGAAGATAAGTGAGGGACAGACTGGCGGAACAGCTGTATTAAAAATGACAAGCCTCTCCATAAGATCTTCATAACTTTTCTATAAGTCTAAAACTATTCTAAAATGAAAAGTTTGTTTTTAAAAAATAAGGCAGGCCTTAGGTACAAGACAAATTCAGTTTATTTTAAGTGGTTCCCAAAACAAAAAGACCAGTAAGTGCACTTTAAAAGGTAATAGATTTTAGCTTCACACGAGGAAAAAATATCTAATATTTCGCACTGCTGTGTATGAGTGACTTCCTTGAAAGGGAACAAGCACCTTGCCCCTGAGACATTCAAATAAAGCCTTTAAATCCAAGGGGATGTGAGTGGGATATAAGTTTGAGTTGGCATCAGATGATCCCCAAGACCTTTTCCAGCGCCAAGATGGAGCCTATGAATGGGTGTCCTTGGGATATGAGTTGAAGGGGTTCAAGCAGCCTGCAGCAGGTACCCTCTGAGGCGGAAAGGCGCCGAGCCAGCCAGGTGGGCGGGCGGGGCTGACGCTCCTCTCTCTGCAGCACGAGTACCTGCTGAAGCTGAAGGTCATGTACACCGTGGGCTATAGCTCCTCCCTGGTGATGCTCCTGGTGGCCCTCAGCATCCTCTGTTCTTTCCGGTGAGAACATGCTGCCAACTCTGCATCTCCGCAGCCTGCCCTGGGCACAGACCTTGCATCTCTTCTAACTGCTCAGGCCGAAGGAGGAGGGTCTGGGTGGGCCACGTCACCTCCTGATCTAAAGCTGACCTGTGGCCGAAGTTCCTGTGACTGAGCTCCCTGTGAAGTTCCTGCGGCCTTGCTCATTCCTTTATTCGCTCAGCATTTACTGGGCGTTACTAAGCACTTACTGCACCGGCTGCTTTCCATGTTGTGATCTCTAATTTTCACACAATGCTGTGAGATAGGTATCATTTTCCCAATTTCACAGGTGTATTAGCCAGACTCTAGGTTGCAAGAAACAGAAATCCACCTTAAAACAGCTTAGGGAAAACAAAGGTGACCCGACTCACATAATTGACAAGTTCAGGAGCATCTGGCTGAATGTAGGTGCTCGACAGTGTCAGCAGAACTAGGCTTGTCTCCCTCTGTTTTTCCGCTTGCATTGGCCTCATCCTTGGGTAGGCCTTCTGTAGGGGAGGCAGAGACAGCCACCAGCAACTGCAGGGGTACATTCTACCAGGTCTCCAACACCAGGGCCAAGAGAGCCCCTTCCCCATTAGTTGCAATGAAAGTCTTGGGGGAATTCTCACTGGCCCAGCTCGGGTCACATGCCCAAACCTGAGCCAGTCGCGGTGGCCAAGGTTGGAGACCTCCAGTTGGTCAGGTCTGTCATGAGGGTGGGAGGTGCAGTCAACCCCCCATCCCCCCAGAACTGGAGTGGGTTCCCCATGAGAAAGCTTGGCTCTGGTACCTGAAGAATGGGAACAAGTGACAGGCTTCTGTCCCCAGCAGCAGAGTAGGAAACTCAGGCTCTGGGGAGGGAAAGGGCAGAGCCTGGGCCTGGTTGCTCCCTGCAGCCTGTATTCTGCTTGCCTGCCTCTGGAACTCCTGCCCTACCTTCTAAACAATTCTGGGAGCTGGAGATGGTAGTAGGCCAGAAGAATATAATGCTGCCCCTGTGACCCCAGCTTTTTATTATGATTATTGTTATTATAGCGTGAGACAGAGTAGACTGGGCACCTGAGGCCTGGGTTCTCATTTAGGTTGTGCTAACAGAGCTACAGAGAAACATTCACCTGGGAAGAGTCAATGTCCAGGGCCCGGGTTTCCCCTGTGCACTGGGGGAGGGCTGGGCCTGCTGCACCCCAGCCCCTCCCAGCACTGGTCCCTATGGCCCCGCTCTGTCTCCCCGCAGGAGGCTCCACTGCACCCGCAACTACATCCACATGCACCTGTTCGTGTCCTTCATCCTGCGCGCTCTGTCCAACTTCATCAAGGATGCTGTGCTCTTCTCAGACGACGGTCTCCACTGCGATACCCACAGGGTAACAAGCCCCGGTGCCCCAGGGTGTGGCTCGTCCTGCCTGCCTTCCCCAGCCTAACTTTGGAGAGGGTGGTGGCCCCGGTGTCCTCCCCTGGAGTCCCTGCTGAGGCTGCATTTAGCACCTATGGTAAAGGAGCCAGCCCTGGGGCTGGGTCGGGAGGTTCAGGGAGAGCTCCCGGTCCCCACATGCACAGCCTGGCCCGTGTAGGAAATCGGCTTTTTGGGAAGCCAGTGGGGGTGCCACTCAACTCCCAGTGCCTGGGAGTGGATTAGCCCCCCTGTGATTGAGATATATAGCAAGGACCCTCTTTCCTACTCTCGCCAAGTCCCAGCTGTAGACAGATGGCGAAGCCTAGAGAGGGCTGGGTTGGTTGTAGAAAGACAAGGCTGAGCATGTGCCTGCCTGTCTGCGCACACGGGTGCGCAGCGAAGCAATAGTGTTTTGTTAAATCTAACCCTCTTCCTCATTCTGAATGCTCAGACGAGTCTTAATTCATCGTGATATCACTTTGTATCCGTTGGAATACCTTTTGGTGCACATAACAGAAAATTGTCCATCAGCGGCTTTAATAGATGGGGGTTGTTTCCCACATGCGCAGTCCATAGGCAGGCAATCCAGAGCTGGCACAGTGGCTCCATGATGCCACAGTCCTTTCCCCTCTTTCTGCTCTGCCATGCTTTATACCACGCCTGCGATGTGGCTCCTGCAACCCCAGGCCCCACATCCATGTTCCAGACAAGAGGAGTTAAGTAGAAGGTTAAACACTTTTTCTCTTTAGGAGACTTTTCATTTGGGAAAAAGGACACCCTCCCCAAGACTCCTACCTACCTCTTATTGACTAGAACTTGGCCATGTGACCATATTTAACTGCAAAGGAAGCTGGGAGATTGAATTTTTTTACTGGTATAGTCTCCAAAGCAGAGGCAAGTGAGGGAGAAGGGGATTGGAAATTGAGATTGGTTCAGTCACCTGTCTGCTTTCCACCACTCACATCTGGAATTCCTTATAGACCTGTTAGTTTGTGTTTATAGTATGTGTGTGTGTGTGCGCGCGTGTGTGCATGTGTTTTCTAACTCAAACTGAGAGATCCTTAAAGTAGAGCCCATGACTCTCAGAGAGGTCTCCAGGATGAAGTAACAGTCCCAGACTGGGGGTCAGGGGACATAAATTCAGGCCCCAGCCCATCACTGACCAGGGGTGGAGAAGTCCAACAGTGCCCAGCAGGGAACCTTCTTGGATTTTACTAACATTAGACTTTCGAACTAACCGTGAACCACGCCTGGAATCAGAGTCTCTGGGAGGCCACAGGGTGGGAACCACGGAGGGCCAGCAGTGCAGTAGTGGGCACTCCCCCTCTGTGGACATGACCTTGCAGCAGTGCATGCAGCAGCCCTCAGGCCACCCCAGGAGCTGTCCTGTCCCTAGGGCACAGCTCAGTGAGAGGAAAGGGGGCCCTTATGGGGTAAGTATAGGAGCCATGTTGGCATAGAAGCCCACAATTCATAGGCATAGCTCCCAGGATCCCTGCAAAGGACAAGCTTGTTATAAGAGTCACTGCATCGAGCAGAGCTGGCACTGTGGACCCTCCTCAGGTGTTCGAGGTCTCTGGTCCGATGCACTGTTCCAGTGAGGGGCCGTTTTCACTATGATCAATGTTGCCCCTAACATAGTTGGTATTTCCCGTCTTAATCTATTTCCAGGGAAACTGAGCTTGGAAAGGATGTTAACCCTGTGCTCAGATGTGCCTTTTTCTCTCTAGGCCTCAGTTTCCCTGTCTGAAAAAGGAGGGAGTTGGGAGCTGGGCAATATCTGACACAATTTTATAGCTAGTAGCCAATTCCAGAATCTGAATGCAGTTCCTGCTTCCCTGATGCCATCGTGACTAAGCCTGCTGGGCTGTGATTCCACTCTCCGGGGAGCTCCATGGGCCTAGTCTTCTGGTAGTGGAAGGCCACAGGGGATGGCCATGAAGCCCAGAGGCTCACCCCGGGGCCTGGCCTCTGACCCCTACCACACCCTGTCACTGCCTGTAAGGCTGGCCACCAGAGGGAAGCCCACAGCCGCCTGCCCTGGGACTCACCTGCCTCTCTTTTTCCAGGTGGGGTGCAAGCTGGTCATGGTCTTCTTCCAGTACTGCATAGTGGCCAACTACGCCTGGCTGCTGGTGGAGGGCCTCTACCTTCACACCCTCCTCGCCATCTCCTTCTTCTCAGAAAAGAAGTGCCTACAGGGCTGTGTCGCCCTGGGCTGGGGTATGTTTCTCTGTGGGTACAGTGGCTGAGTGGGAAGTGGGAAAGGGCGCTGAGTCAGAATTTGGTTTCTAGTTCCAGCTCCACATTTAAAGTTAGTTAACTTGTGTAATCTTAGATAAGTTACTTGCTATTTAACCATCTGGCTTCAGTTTCTTTACCTGTCAAATGGGAAATATTAGCTAAAATTTAGCCCCAATTTCTGGCATCCAAAGCCTTTAACAATTTGATACCACCCAACACTTGTTGCCTCACCTTCCCTTAGATGTTCCATTTAATGCCCTCATATTTGCTTCCTTTCTTTGTAAGCTAGGGTGCTTTTGACTGTAGATATCATAAAATCTGACTTATATAGGCTTTGAACATAAAAGAAATTAATTGGCTGATATAACTGAAAAGCCCAGGGATCACTAACTTCAGGCGAGGCTGAATTCACAGCTCAGTGTTTCTTTCTGTCTTTCTACTTTGTGTTCTGCTAGTGCTCCCAGCATAGCTGCCCACAGCTCTGGGCTGCTGGCTTCCTCATGGCATCTAAGGAGAGAGAGACGCTGTGTCCTAGCATTCCCAGCAAACAGTCAGAGGTTCAGTCTGATTGGACCAGCGTAAGTCTCACACACATCCTTGAACCAATCACAGAGGCCTGAGGGAATGGAATACACTGATTGGCTTGAGCCACTCAAACCACATGGCTTCCCAAAGGAAATTAGGATTCAGTTTCTAGGAAGGAGGGGAAACAGTAGCAAGACAATCAACTGCAGGCCCCATTACATCTCTTTCCTCTTTCCTTTCTGGTCAATGAGAATGATAGCAACTCCCACTTCTTGAGCACTTACTATGTGCCAGGCATTGAGCTCAGCACTTCACATGCATTATTTTATCACAATCTTCAGAGTCCTCTCAGAGAAACCTTGTTTCAGAGACATAATATGCTCAACTCAAACTGTAGATAAGGGCAGACCCAGGATATAAACATGGCCTATTTTAAATTTCCTTTACTTCTGTTCTACCATTAACGAACATCCACTTATCCATCCATCCCTATCCATCCATCCATCACATCATCCTTCCATCCATCCATCCACCCATCCATCCATCCATCCATCATCCCCATCCATCCATCCATCCATCCGTCCTCCCCATCCATCCACTCATCCATCCACCCATCCACCCATCCATCCATCCATCCATCCATCCATCCCCATCCATCCATCCATCCATCCATCCATCCATCCCCATCCATCCATCCATCCATCCATCCATCCATCCATCCATCATCCCCATCCATCCACTCATCCATCCACCCACCCATCCATCCATCCATCCATTTATTTATCAGTTGTTCATTTGATAAACATATAAGCTACCTCCTTGGTTCTGGACAGAAAGCCATGTTCATAGGGATGAATCACAGGATCATAAAGATAGTCATGTGTACTAGCCACTAGCTTCATGGATGAATGAATGAATTCATTGTCCATGGGTGGATGGATGAATGGATGGATGGAAGTATAGTGCCCTACACTTCTTTTCTGCTTGTCTAAATCTTACCTGTAAGGGCCCTATCTCTTCATCAGACCATCAGGAAGTCACCTGAGCTGGCAGAGCTGGCTGAGCCCTCTTGCTTCTGAACTTTAGCAGCCAGATTAGCGCATGACACTTGGCCAGCAAGAGCTGTAGGGCTCTGCAGATCTCTGAGTATGTGCATAGGCCGGTAGTCCCAGGGTGCAGGGGACCCAGGATTTGGCTTATGCAGCTGACTCTTCCAGAAGAGCACCCAGCTTGGAGCCCAACTCACTGAGTCTTGACTCCAGATCTGCCAGGATTTCACCGTGTGAACATGAATAGTTTCATCCTCTATAATATCAGGAGCATAACTTATTCAACTTTCTGCAGACACTTCTTTGAGCTCAGAGGGGCTTATAGAGATTCAAAAACAAAAACAAAACCTGTTCCACCACTCAAAGGGTTTGTCATCCAGCAAGAAGACAAAATTGGATTGTGATATCTCTCACAGGTTTCGAGGAGGCCTAAATGAGATGATGAGAGACTTCCTTTCTTTCTCAAATATTTAGTGAGCATCTACTATGTGCCAGGCCTTAGGGATAGAGCAGCACATGAAACAGAAGCAGTTGTTCCCTCCGGGCCCCTCTGCCTACACAGCCCCGAGGAGACCATGCTGGGGCTCAGGAAGGCTTCAAGTTCCCAATCTGTGAGATGCCTTTCTCTTCCAAAAGCAGTGGCCCCTCCTCAATTCTTACTTAACTTGTTTCCACAGGGATAGTTGCTTAACTATTGTGCCCACTGTAAAACTTTGCAAAAAATTTTTTTAAGTGGAAAAAGAATGACTCTAGTCCCATCTAATGAACATTTTCTGGGGTTTTCTTTCAGACTGTTCTTCCTACTCCCAGTTGTCTGCACACAGTTGTGGTTATTCTGTATGTAGAAGTTTGGATCTTGCTTCTTTCCATTAACACACAAACTCTGTGTTCGTTCAACTCTTCACAAACATCTTTACTCTGCGGACATATTTAACCAGATACCTATGATTTGGACATTTGTTTCCAATTTTTCACTATTATAAATAACAGTGATGAATTTTATGGGCAAAGCTTATTCCATGTGTGATACAGAATTCTAGAAGTGGGATCTTTGAGTCAGAAGGAATGAACACTTGGAAGATTTTTAATACTTATCCAAAGCTTTTACAAGGTGGCTGGGGTGTCAGTCTGCACCCAGAGAGGGGTGATACCTCTGGCTTTTATGGGCATGAACCAAGCTCCCACTCACCAGTGAACTTAAGCTGGTGGTTCTGCAGCTGGAGCTGGTACCAGAGTCACACAGAGGCATGATGAAGGCGTTCAGATCAGGTTTCCCAGGACGAGCCACTTTGGCATGTGGATTATTTTGAGCTGAAGGCAACTGAGGTCCTGTGGGCTCACAAGGAATTTTTACCTCTCTCTTAAGAATTTAAATTTGAGGTCTTGCCCATAATAAGAGTTATTATCAGAAATAACTTTTTATGAGTTCTGTACATGTCAGGGCAAACTTTTAAGTGCTGAACATCTGCTCTTCCTCCCCTCTGAAGCTTCAAGACACCTCACCTCATTTCTGTCCCTGATTCCTCATTTCCCCTTTCTGTCTCTGAACCTCTCATGCATGTGGTGTCTCTGACTCTCTCATGTATGTGAGGTTTCTGTATGTATGTAATTAAATTTGGTATTTTCTCTTGTTAATCTGGCTCATGTCAATTTGATTATTAGACCAGCTGGAAGAACCAAGAAGCGTAGAGGAAAATTTCTTCCTCCCCTACAGTGTCACACCCAGCAGGCTGAGCCCCAGAGTCTCTGAGCCACTGGCCAGGGGTGGAGCTTGAGACTCTACATTTCTAACAAGGGCCTAAGTGATCCCGACACTGCTGATCCGGGGGACCACACTGAGAACCTTGACTCAAGCCATTGTCAGTTTTTCACTCTTCCACTATCTCTCTATTAGAGATGGAAAAAAATGAACAGGTGGACCTCAAAATCGGTATTCTTTGTCCAATTTGGGAGCAAATTGAGGCAGGAAATTTTTTGAAATTGCTACTTTTATCAAAGTTATGCATGTTCTTGGTTTAAAGAATTAAATAGGACTACAAGGCTTGTAATAATTTTTAAAAAGCTGTCTCCTCTCCCTGCTTCTGCTTCCCAGAGGTAACACATTTTCAATTCTATAACTGTTCCTATTAAAATGTACTCTCATGCTTCTAAACAATATTCTATTTCTTAATTCATCCACCTGAGGCATTATTTATTGACTCCTGATGATGGAGATAAGGGTATAAAAATTCTTCATCCACTACCTTTATCCTACTATTAGAGTTTTTCACAGTTTTTGGTTAAATCATAGTCAATGTATACATCATTTTATCTATGTAAATACTGTTTTACTGGGCCAGGTGGTATGCAATGATTTCCCAATATTTAACTATTTGTTTTTCATGCAGTTATTTTTAATTTAGTTATTTATTTTATATTGCTGTATTAATTCTCCCAAATTGTCCAACAGAACTGGAAAACCCTCCAATGCTATTTTCCAAATCATCAAATGCAACATAAAATCTATTAGTTCCCATTTGTTTGTTTTCTCCCTGCTGTATATTAGTTTCCTAGGGCTGTTTTAACAAATTGCCACAAACTTGGTGGCTTAAAACAACAGAAGTTTATCCTCTCACAGTTCTGGAGACCAGAAGTTCAAAAACTGAGGTGTTGGCAGGGTTGATTCCTTCTGAGGGCTCTGAGGGACAGCATGTTCCACCCATCTCTCCTAGCTCCTGATAGTTGCTTCTTGGTGACTTGTAGCTGCATCATTCCAATTTCTGCCTCTATCTTTATATGGCTTTCTCTCCTCTGTGTCTCCTCTCTTTCTGTGTCTCTTGTGGCCTTCTTATAAGAACACCAGTCATATTGGATTAGGTTCCCAAAATGACTGGCATTCTTATAAGTATGACTTCGTTTCAAACAATTGCACCTGCAAAGACCCTATTTCCAAATAAGGTCACGTTCTAAGGCCCTGGGTAGATATAAATTTCGGGGGTATACTATTCAACCAAATATACTCACTATTAAAGAACCAAATTCAGTGGAGTAAATTTGAAGATCTAATTGGCTTTTTTAAGTGATTCAAAATGGAAGGTTTTTACAGGCAGAAAGAGGGTGGGCAAGAAAGTTAAAAGAGTGGGTTATTTCACGCAGTGTCACCTTCCCTTAGGGGAAGGCACAGGCCTCATTAGGCAGATGACTTCACTAGTCTGATCAGAGAATTCCAGATTGACTGATATAAAATTTCACTCCTGGGAGAGGCTGAAACTGCAGCTAGGTTAGGAATTAAGTTTTGGTAAGGCCTAGCAAAAGTGGCTCCATTTTGGGCCTACTGTTTCTTTTTAACTTCACCAGTGCACTTTCTAGAGACTTTTGCCCTCCTGCTCTATTTGGACTGGTTGTTCCCTAGATTTGCTCAATTCCATTAACCTTTGTGCTGAAAATTTCCTCTATTTTCCTCCACAAATCCTATTCTTTTATCCCTCTCTACGGTTTACTCTCTAGTTGTGTTGGAGCACATCCTCCAATATCTCTCTAAGAAAGAGTTCATGGAAGGTACATTTTTATGCATTGCATATCTAACAATATCTTTGTTCAACTTTCACTCCTGATTTGTAGTTTTATTGGACATAGAAATTAGATTCATTTCCCCCAGAATTTTCAAGACCTTCTGTTTTGGCATCTGTTGTTATGGGACGTGCCATGTCAGTCTGTTTCTTAAGCCTTTTTATTCATTTCTCTATATAAGCTGCAGGATTATCTCTCTGTCCCATGTTTTAAAATGTCATAGGGATGTGTCCCCATGAAAGTTTGTCTTCATTCTTTTTGCTCGCATCTGGTGCCCTTTCGTCTGGAAACTCACATTCTTCATTTCTTAGACAATATTCTTACATTATCTATTTGATCATTTCCCCCCTCTGGTTTTTATCCTCTTACTGAAACTTTTAACCAGGTAGTGCAGTCCTGGAATCAACCTCTAATTTTCTCATTGTGTCTTCCTGCTCTTAATTTCACCCTTTGTGTCCTGCTTTCTGGGAAATTCCTAGTCTTTATCTTCGAACACATCTATGACATTTTTTAAAATCTTGCTTATCCTGTATTCAGTTTCTGCGCCCTCTTCCTTGTTCTCTGAGTGCCCCCTGGTTTCAGCATCTTGCCTGTATCTTGCACATGTAATCTTTTATCTCTCTGATGATGTCCCTTAGAGTCCTTTATTCAGCTTCCTCCTGCAGCCCATAAGGTCTGTTTCCTCTGAGTTCCTTTTCTCTGATTGTTTTGGTTCTTGTCATTTCTGTAATCAGCTTCCGTCAGGTGTCATTGGCCTTGACTTCATGTTTATTAAGCATGGTCACTTCAGAGCTGACTGAAGGCCCTGCGTGGGGGAGCATGTGTCTCAAAGGAGACTGGACTGGAAGTGGCCACTGGGTTGGAGGGGCGCCAGCATCGCTATCTATAGGCCCTTTAATCTCCTGCCTGAGGTAGAGGCGGACGGCTGAAGCAAGGGTAGAAACCTGGCTGCTAGGGGTCTGAAAACAGCAGCCCGGGTGGGCCTCTGACCATTCAGCACGTAGACAAGCATGTCCATTAAAAATAGCATCTGAGCCACACGTGTAATGTAACATTTTCTAGTAGCCACAGTAGAAAGAAATAGATGACATTAACTATAATGTTTTATTTAACCAAATATAAATCACATATTTTCATTTTAACGTATAATCAACATAAAAATTGTTCATAACATCTTTTACATTCTTTTATTTGTACTAAATCTTCAAAATCTGGTATCTATCTTGCCCCTCCAGCACATCTGCATTGGGACCAGCCACATATCAAGCACTCAATAGCCACATGTAGCAAGTGACCCCTGTCCTGGACACCACAGGTGTAGACCATCACTGCGTCCCCTCTCTTCTCTGCAGAGGTCCCCCAGAGTCTGGCTCAGGCTCCTCAGGGACCTCATGCCCTTTGTGGCCTTCAGGATCCATCTGATCCTGCCTCAGTCCCCAGCACACCCCTGGTACCCTAGAAGCAGGAAACTACATATTTACACAAGATTTCTTTACAAGGCAGTTTCCATAGCACTTGCTGCCTCTCTGGGCCCCCATACCTGACTGTCCTGTTCCTCATATGAGTTTGGAAAATCGAGTCCTCTCCTTCTGTTTTAAATCCTCAGGTTCCCCAGCCATTTTTGTCACTTCGTGGGCTATCACCAGACACTTTCTGGAAGATGTTGGGTAAGCTGCTTGAAGGAGAGGTAACAAGAGTGTATTTTATATCGTCCAGCTCTTCAGACAGGATGGACACTTCTTTGGAACTGTCTGGGAGAGGCCTGTTTCTCACACTGGGGCCACAGGAAAATTCTCTGGAGTGCCAGGCTGCCCAGTGCCCCGCTCTCCAAGGGCGTGAGCTCACAGGTGGGCCGAGGCCTCCACCTCACCTGCACCCTCTCGGGCTTCCCTCCCCACCTGCCTCCCCAGCAGCTCTGTGGTTAGTCTTGTGTCAGACAAGAGCTTCAAAACTCGGGGCAGGCCCTGCCGGGCGTGGCTCAGTGGTTGAGCATCGACCTAGGATCCAGGAGATAGCAGTTCAATTCCCAGTCAGGGCACATGCCCGGGTTTTGGCCTCGATCCCCAGTCGGGGTGTGCAGAAGGCAGACTATCAATGACTCGCTCATCATTGATCTCCCTCTCTCTCTCTCTCTCTCTCCCCCTTCTTTTAAAAACAAAACAAAAAACAAACAAACAAAAAAACCAAACCAAAACAAAACTCCAAGTGGGTGCTGCTCAGCGGGAAGCTGTTAGGGCCAAGCCAGCCTTCCCTCTCTCCTGGGCTCTCCCCTCGCTTCTCCCTACTATACCTGGGTGTCTGAGAGCCAGCCTGGAGAGTGGCAGCCACATCCTCAACAGCTTCTTGTTCTTTAAAGATGTGAGGTGCTGGGGCAGGAGGTGAGCGCGGGGGCCTTCAGGGACTAGGTGCCTGGAAGGAAAGCTTGGGTGAAGCCAGGGAGGAGGTGAGGCGGCAGGACAAGGCAGGAGGCTGGTCCTCGCTGTCACACCAGGCCAGAAGGAGACCAGGTCGAAGAGGCTTAGAAGTGACTTGCAGTTCAAAATCGGCCCCGAATAATTGCTTCAAAATAATTTTTTTAATTGGGTAAATCCACTTTTAAAAAAATAATGTGGATTTTCAGCTTCTCTAGGAAAAACGGGAAGTCCTGTTAACATTTCCTACTTTCTTTTGTGGCAAAACCAGCTGGAACAGAGCTGTGGCTGCCTTAGGCCAGGCACACGCTCTCCAATTTGCCAAGAACCCCCCACACCTGATGTCCCTGGGGTTGTGAGGTCACATGCCAGTCCCCCAGCCACTTCACTCACTGAAGTCACCTGCCTGGCTACTGCTGGCAGTTGAGTTTGCCACTTTGCCAGCTTTGAGATCTGGAGTCTCTGGCTCTCAGTTCACGCGTCTGCTCCCCGACGCTCACCAGCACGTGCGGAGTCAGGGCGCCGCTCCTCAGCCCCAGCAGTGCCCCCGGTGGCAGGATGGGGTCGCTTCTGAGCACACAGCCACGGGGCAGGACCACGGCATGGGTCCTTCATACCAAGGGCACCTCAGGGAATGAGTCTTCTCTGGTCAGCCCAGCTCCTCACTCCCAACGACCCTGGCTGTGCCTCCGTAGGTGCTGGGACATCAACGCCAACGCGTCCGTCTGGTGGGTCATTCGAGGGCCTGTGATCCTGTCCATCCTGGTAAGTGGCCATCCTCCCCTGCACTGGGCTTCAGTGAGGGAGACCCAACAGTGACTGGCTGTGGGGACAGAGGGGACAGGCTGGCGCTGCTCCCTCCAGGTGTGGGAGGAATGAGCCTCAGGGCTTCCCGAGGTTGGCCAGCGGCGGTTCCACCCCTGGGGAATGGGAACGGCAGTGGCGTCAGGGGCACGCAGGAGCTCATGTAACTCACGATCAGGCGCTGAAATGTGGGGAGCAGAGCCCTTGCCCTAAACTGGCTGGCTTAATTCCACTCCACTGGTTCAGATCTTTGGGTCTCGGTGTTTTTATAAGCGTCCTCTTGTTAAACTGGGAAGGGTCTCTGAGCTGGGACCGTGGAGGGAGGGCTGGGCTGTGGCTGGGAAGCTGAGTGAGGCTGTGGTCTCTGGCCTGGGCACTAGTCTTAACTGTAAGTTTCCAGGTGCTTCTGCTGAGGCTACAGACAAGAATATGGGGACAGGAGGGAAGACACAGGGGGGACACAGTGGGGTTGTCTCATGCACTGAATCAGCCCCACAGCTGCGCACAGGACTCAGAGGGACCCCAAAGCAGCAGGACCAGTTGACAGGGTGCCTCCTAGGGCCTGGCTGGGGCAGGGAGAGCGCGGTGGCTGGGACAGCAGCTCTGTCCTCTTCCACGGCTGGCTGGGTGACCTCCTGCGGCCAGCGGAGGAGATGGGTCCCATGGCTTTCTTTCTTTTTTTTGGAAAATGATAGCATTTGCATAAAAAAAAAAAAAAAAGGGAAGTCACAAAATATGTATTTTAAACAGGAATAAAATCACCCATAAATCACCATTAGCATCTAGATACACATCGTGAAAACACGTGTTTTTCAGTCTTATCTTTTTTAAAATTTTTTATTGATTGGTTGATTTTAGAGAGGAAGGAGGGGAGAGAGAGAGACATCAATTAGTTATTCCACTTATGGATGCATTCATTGATTTCTTTCATGTGCCTGGACCAGGAATGGGACCTACAACCTTGGGGTATCAGGACAACGCTCTAACCGACTGAGCTAACCAGCCAGGGCTCCTTCCTATTTTTTTCTTTGAGCGCACATACTTTTCCCCCCACTAAATGCTTAATATGGTTTTGTATCCTAGTTTGTTTGTTTGTTTTTCTTAGCAATAGATGTGAGCGCTCCCAAGCCCTTTGGAGTTCCTTGACTGACCAGCGTGCGCGGCTGCTTACTATTCCCCCAGGAGGACGTTTCCTTTTCTAGTTAAACCGGTTTCCCTTCTGTAACTCTGGGACTCTGACAGCCCAGCCCGGTGGGGCCCCAGCTGAGGGGCGGCCAGCCCCAGTGTCCAGGCTGACTTCACGGGACTGCGGTCCATCGTGATTGAGGGATGTGGGGTGGGGACTCCTGATGCAAAATGTCCCCCAGCCAGCCTGTCACTCTGCCTAGAATTCCATTATTTCCATCTCATTCTTGGGATCTTACGAATTTTTTTCTTTTGCTTACAAGTGCTTCCTATTCAATTAAATACAACTCTAAGACAATCAAATGAAATAAAATTAATAGCCTTTATTAGTTCACCCCATACACAGCCAGCTCAGAGCAAGATGCATAACAACCTGGCTAGGAGTCCTAGACTGGGCACTAATCCCGTGTCTTTGGGCAAATGTCCCCCAGCCCCAGGCTATTTGTATGAACACAGAGGGTGCCTGGCTGGGTGACCCCACTCCTCCCTGCTTCTGTAAAGGGTGCTGGGGCTGGTGGGGGAAAGGGGAGGAGAGGTGCCGCTATGTGGGCAACTTCATAATGTTCAGGCACTGGGCACCAGGGTTGGGGGAGGAGACACCAAGGAAGTGAAGAGACTCCATTCCTGTCCTCTCGGAAGTTATGATGGAATTGGCAGGTAAGTGGACAAACATAGAAGTTTGACAGATGCATGTATTTGGCCCCTCTCACATATTTCAAGTGCTCTTACGCAGTATCATTAGCCTTAGCTACAATGAATTAGGAAAGGGCGGTAATCAAGGATGGCTTCCTGGAGCTGGTGACTGAGCTGCCAAGTGACTATAAGGCACTGAAGCAGTTCTGTGTGACCCCTAGACCAGCAGCTTCAGCATTGTCTAGGAGCTTATAAAAATGCAAATTCTTGGGCCCTACCGAAGATGCAGCAATCTGCACTCTAAACTTTGAGAACCTATCTGTAAAGGCTCTACTTAAAGTGTAGTCCAAGGACCAGCTTTAGCATTCCCAGGAGCTGGTTAGAAATGCAGAATCTCAGGCCCACCCAGGCCTGTATTTTGACAAGCTCCCCAGAGGACTCTAAGCGTGAGGAATCCTGCTGCAGCTGAGCCGGCCTTAGAGTCCTGCCGCCCAGGGCGGGGAGGAGTGCTGGGTCTCCAGGGCCTCCACAGAGCTTGTTTCACCAGGAGGAGAGGGGTGGGGGGAGCAGTGATGTGCCATCCTGGGGGGCAGCCTGGGTGTGGTCTGCAGTGCCTTCTCTGCTTTCAGGTCCAGGGGCAGGGCCAGGAGAGGTGCAGGGAATGCAAGTCACTTTTAAAGGCCTCTGCCTTGTGTTTTACAGATTAATTTCATCCTGTTTATAAACATTCTAAGAATCCTGATGAGAAAACTCAGAACCCAAGAAACAAGAGGAAATGAAGTAAACCATTATAAGTAAGTGGGGGGCAAAGACTTAGGCATGCTCAGCACACAGATACGAGCACCAACTGTTTACCCAACAGGTGCTAGGCACTATGGAGATGGAGGAGAAGGGAAAACCGTGACCGAGTTCCAAGGAGTTTGTGGTATAAA